ACGGCCACACAGTTGGGTGTCAATGATGATGATATTGTTGTTCTGTTTTAGAAATGAAATCCTTCTAAATGTCTGAAATTGTGCTTGTTTTCAATTTGACCCCAAACATACTACATGTTACTGTCGTTGACAACATAAATTGTTTTTCTTTCCAAATGTTATGAATAACAAAAATCTGTCCTGGGAAACAATATGAGGACACCAAAAAGATCTTTCTTTCCATTTTTAGGTCAGTCAGTGACAAAATCACTGCATAAAGTAAAGTAAAAAAATCCCCAGAACACTCTTCCACGGGTATTACATTTCTTCTGGATGACTCTACTGAATGCTCTCAGCCTTCATGCAAAGTGCCTACCAAAGGATGAATTTAAAAAGGGTCTGAATCAGTCTCAGGATTTGAGTGGAATTTTTAATGCCTTGCAAACTAATTATCAAATTATTCCAGCATCACTACCCATTGTAAGTGCAATTGTAATGAGCTTCAGTGAGTGTTGTTTTCAGAGAGACAGGAACAGAGACGGCTGCTGCTGCTTGTAACACTCACTGCCTCCAGCTCAGCTAACTGGAAAACTAAAGCAGTTAGAAAACTGGGCCACAATTGTTACTGTTCATGGATTTACTTTTTGCTACTGTTGTTATTGATCAGCTTCAAGCAAAGGTCTGACACTGTATCCTAAATCTTGCATTGATAGAAACCAACCTCTGACACTCGAGTTTCACCTTTTGGACTTTTGCCCTGCAGGTGGATGCCCAGCGACAGCCAAGCCGATGGCTGACCGATCCTGTGACCCGCCCTGCACCAAGCCACGCTCCCTGTGCACAGAGGTGAGTTTTGGGTGGAGTGATGGCAAATGTTGCATGTGGTCAGATTCATTCGTCAGCATTATCAGTGGTGCTGCTTTGAGGTCCTGGGTGGTATTTTCAGTGAAGCTGTTTGATCAGGAGTGTAAGAACCCACATGACAGTTTATCTAATATATATATACCTGGGACTCCTTGTCACAGGTTCCACATGTTTGTGAGATGTAGGCAGTTCAAAGAGTATTTTTCTCTTCTCAGATTATGATTGAATATATTGAAGAGACCAAGAACCAAAACTAGTTTTGTGTATCTCTTACACTCTTTTGATACCTCAGATTTATCTCGCCAATCCATTAGGAAATCACAACCCCTATACTGGAAAACACAACTCTCTCACCACCAGACTCTGGACCACTGGTATCTATTATGCATTTTGCAACGTTTTATCATTCCTTCAATTTCATTTTTTTGGCAGTCTTTAGTGCTTCTAAATGTCTTTTCACATCTCTTGGCTTCTCTTGGTATCTTTTAGTGCTTCTTGAGCATCTTCTGGCATCTCATGTTGTCTCTCTTTGATGTCTCTCATCTTTTGGTGTTTCTTTGCATCTTTTCCAGGATTTCACACGCTTTTTTTGGGATTGTTGCGGCCTAAAATACCAGATTTCATTCCAGCTTTTCTAAAGAACATTGCGATGCATGTTGAGACATTGTAGGCAGAAATTGCGGGAGAATTGCAAAAATAGTTGTATTTGTAGTTGTATTTATATTATGTATTGTATTGTAGTAGATGGTAAAATTTGCGGAAAAAGTTGCATTGATCGGACAAAACTTTCAGTGCCTGCCAAATTCATGGGGATTGATTGAGTTTGTGTTAATAGTTCACAACATCACAACTTCCTGGAAGGATTGAGAATAGTCTCGTAATACCAGACGATTAGAGATCTCAGTGACCAATCGTCTGGGGATTTCTAAATGCAAAGTAGTTTGCATGAGAACAGATGCTAACAAACGTACACCACCTATGTCAAAGACAGGTTTCACCTGAAACAATGCTGTCTCCCCATTTCTGTTATATGGTACAGCAGTGTTTACAAGCACATGACTTCCCCATGGTGATTGGTGCTGCAAAGCAGGTTTTCTTTTAAACTCAAAGGCCAGGGTAAAGTCGTCAGTCTCTGTTGAGCAAAGCATTTAGAATCTGGCCTTAGAATGGAGACATTTTGATGTAATAATAACTTCATGTGGGATTTATCAACATCTCCCTTGTGTCTCCCAGCCTGAGGTGGGGACACAGGTTTTACTCACCCATTCTAACTGACAGGTGGTGATAGCAGCAGCAGATTTTATGCTTTTAAAAGTGGATAGTCAGGTCCCAAATTGTTACATAGTCCAAAACCCCAAATCTAACAGTTCACCCTTGTAGAAGGGTACCACTCAACTGTTTGACGTCTTTTGGCATCTCTTGGTGTCTTTTGGCATCTCTGTTTTTGTCTCTTTGTGTCTTTGGGCACCATTGGGGTCTCTTTGACGTCTCTTAACGCTCAGTATCTGTTGGCATTATCGCTTCTAAATGTCTAAATTTCTCTTTTTTTCATGGTGTCTCATGGCATCTCCTGTTGTCTCTCTTTGATGTTTCTTGTCTTTTCATGTTTCTTTACATACTTTTGTGCTTCTGAGCATCTTTTGGCTCCTCCTGTTGTCTCTCTGCAGTTTTTACTGTCTGCTGATGTCTCCCAGGTATATTATTGGTTTATGTCAAGACAGACCCACACAGACCCTCTGGTCTCTACACACACCAAATATACCAAAGATCACTCTAAAAGTTGTGCACAAAAGTAGCCACAGCTAGCCGTGTCCTACTGCAGCTGCTACAGTGCAAGATACATTTCCCAGTGAAAACCCAACACAGAAATGTCTATCCAACTTCTTTCAACCATGTTAGAAATGAATCAACAGTTCAGAGCCCAAGAACAGGGTCTGTAGACCTCCAAAATGGCTGAGAGAAGAAGCCCGGACCCCCTGTTGGGATAAAAGGAGTGCATAGGGATATTTTAAGGAAACAGAAAAGAATAGAAAAGAGAAAAAGAAATCACAGGAAATAAACTCAAAGGTCTGACTCACATGGAGTTGCCACCTGTTATTAAGCCTTTTCCCATTACCCTCTCCTTAACACACCTGGACTGAAGCACTGCAAGTTAAAGAACAGCTGCAGCTGCTCTGCAAAACAGAGACCCTGGAACTGCTTTTAAGCTTGCAAACAGAGCAGCTCAGAATACATTGAAATCCATCCTTTATCTATAGCCGCTCAACCCTTAGAGGGTGAGAGTCTGAATCTTCTGCTGATAAGAGTGATAGAACAACACCCTAGAGCAGTCAAGGGCTGACATAGAAAACAAAATGAAATAGAGACCATGTCCAAAACATCCCAGTGTTATTGTGACTGCAAATAGCTCTGTTTTCTGGTATTTTGTAATGTGATGTAGAGCTTTGCCTTCAATTCTGCAGTTCTGAAGTTTTTCCATTGGCATCAGCCTATTGTATATCTTCTGTCTCTCTGGAGGAGCCGTTGCTCCAAGTTCAAAACTTTAATCACAAAATCTGATATATGTTTCTAGTTCAGAATGGCTACTTTTTTTAATATGATATAGCTAATTTGATTTTAGGAAATAAATGATTTAAGTTCATTCTGTGGTTTCCATCAAATTAAATTTTGGGACCAGTTCAATTAAATATTTGCCTTTAAGCTTTGTTGTGTGTCCTATTAATGAATCATGCAGTCCCAAGCAGAAATTTATGCAAAAGTAATATCTTATGAGAGGATATTTTTTTCTACCAGATGTCCATCACACAGGGTTTGATGCTTTTCTTAAAGTCCTTAGCTTTTAATCTCAGGGCATTTCTTTAGAGACCAAATATGCTGTGAATACCAGGGGAGAATTTAAAGTGCTACTCAAGGAGAAGAGGAGGATAATCGATTCTGTTTTTCTGAAATGTCAGGCGGAACTGGGACCTGCCAACGTTTTATGCTCTTTAGTCGTTAGTAGTCAGGAATCTTTTGCTGATGAGAGTGACATCAACAATACACCAGCATTAACATGCCTGTTTAACTTGTGTTTGCAGTCATGTAACTGCTTCCATGTTTTAACATTTTATGATATTTGCTCTGTACCAAGATGTTGGATGGATGAACAAGACTATCCAACAAAGATCACCACTTATAGCCTTGCCACTAGCAGGACAAGTAGTCCATTAGTAACTAATCAGAATCAGACTCAGAAATACTTTAATAATCCCAGGGGGAAATTACTTTAATAACTAATGTATTTTAGTCCAACCCAAGGGTGTGGCAAGAGTCAAAATCTTGCTCACACCAGACGTGGAGTGGAACAGACTTGCAGCAATCTTTTCATAATGAACCTGAGACACTTGATCATTAGAAAAGGAGGCAGAAACTGGAGTTGAAGTCAATGCTAGGTCTGCTAGCAAATTAAATAAAAATAGTATTTTTTTTTCCATAATAAGGACATGATTTCTTACATTTTACATGATACCAGTATCTTCACTCTAGAAACTGAGCCCACACTATCAGCCTCTGTCAGCCACGCAGTTACCATATGACCTGAAAGTGGGGAGGAAAAGTCTGGTTGCCACCCCCCCCCCCCCCTCCAGCATTTTCCTACAGCGCAAATACACGGCACCAGGCACTATACGTACACCACAGAACAGAAGATGAATTGTGTTTGTTTTAGCATGTGGTTGCATGATTTAGAGTTGTGGTTGCTAAAAGGAAGCTAGAGAAGTCTGGAAGATGAGAGGAGGAGTGTGAGTAAGTTCATACTGTGTACTCTGTGAGCATTACAGCAGCACCCTCAAGAGACTGAACCCAGATATATATAAAATGATAACACAGTGCTGAACCGCACTTCTTTTCCTTTGTTTTGCACTGAGGAGATGTAAATGATCATTTCCTCATTTCCAGCTCTGGCTGCTGTCGGCTGTACGCAGCTACTGTTTGCGCGGCAGGGATTTCTGTGGCCGATTATCCTCCAGAGATTGTCGGGAGCTAGGGACCCCCTGCAGGGTGATGAATAGATCATGGATGAGTAAGAGAGAGATGTGGAGGAGGGGTGGCTTCCCTGCATGCGTGCACACACATACCGCTCCATGCAATCAAACACAAACCCTGTCTGACAAAACAGACAGCAGCAATAGACTGCAGCACTGTTACTGAGCTGATTTTATGAGATTGTACAGCTAAATCATAGCTTTATCAAAGGTGCTCTATGATTTCGTCTTTCTGTATTTATTTCATTTCAACAATGGCACAAACAGTGTCAACACTGCTTTGTACATTGTTTACCGACAGATCAAGGCCCCTTTTTCCAACTAACAATCAATCCTGGAGGATAAGAATGTGATTCTAAACACCCTTGCAAATTCAGTTTATGAAGCCTACTGCAGACTACATGGCTTTTGCCATGATTTTCCTATGCCAAATTCTTGATATCTGAGACATTACACCTTGAGTTAGAACAGAATCCATGGCCGTGCCACTGCAATAGAGGTCTTCACAGGTGCCAATCAGAAATGGACCCTTTAAAATTTAAAAGGTAACATATGTGAATTAATCTAACCTGTTGAAACTGGTTGTGGTCCGCACGTTTGTTTGGGGCTTCGGTCAGGTTGTTCCCGATTTGGTGTCGTGATTCAGGGGTAGGGAAGACCCATTTGGAAATGTCGACCCAAACAGACCTAAAACAGAGACTTGGCCTGGATCTGTACATTGAAGACTGAAGGCTGTATTTTGTTATCCCTTTCTCAAAGACATTGTGATGCTGTCCCACAAAAAAACATTAAAGAAATAAATAGAGTGAGAGAAGTTACATTTGAAAATACCTGAAACCACAACAAAATGGCCTAAAGACCCTGGATTCAGCCTTAGTAGCAGAACTCAAAAACAAAATTGGCAGTGGCATGGTGCTCCACTACTAAGTGGAAGCAGTTGAAAGAAGTCGCAATACATGTAATTTTCCCTGCACTTCACAGTTTACACTCTTCACCTCACCTGCTTCTTCGTCTGCCTGCAGAAATGCTGACATATCGGTGAAAATACAGTAGAATTGCTTTCAAGGAGAATGAAGACAGGTTGACAGATGTTAATCAGACGAGGGTTACAGAATCAAGAGCTGATTTGGAACAAGTCAACAAGTTACTTAAGATTTCCTTCATAATATTTTCTTCCCCCTGTGGTTTCTCTTCATCCATTCTCGCCTGTGTGGACTTATACTTTCTTTATTCCTTTGCCATTCATGTTTTGTTGGTATCTTTTCACATGTTGTATATAATTCAACTTTTATATACAGAGAGCTTTAGATGTCTTGATAAAAAGACTGCTACAAGTATTTTCTGAGCTGTCTGAAGGTAACCTTGTGAGGAAGCTGGATTTGCAAGAACATAAAATTCAATGTTTCAAGCTGTGCACTTGTGCCCAAACCACAGTGGTTCGGATGTATGAGGAACTCCTGGCAGCTATGTTTGGGAGTGATGTAATTAAAAAAACAACAACAATGGCGGCTGTATCAGTTATGTCAAAACTAGAGAGTATTTCCTCATTGGAAGAAGAGCAAAGAGCAGCACTGAAGGCTTTTTCTCCATGAAAAAGATGTTTTCGCTCTTCTCCCGACTAACTTCGTTGATCTGATTAGTTAAAGTTCACAGGTGAATTTTTTTTTTGAAAGTGCCAAGGACAACTTCCCAGCTTGTTCTGTGTAGACCACTGGTTCTGGTTACCCAGTAGGGCTAAAGGTAAATCTTAAGGGTCTATAAGATACGAAAGAAAATAAAGAAGAAAAAACTTTTTTAGTAGCCACCTACCACTGCGGTTCTAGGCTCACACTGATGTCTCCAAAACTACTGGATGGATTGCTATCTTATTCCCCTCAAAATCAATTGTAATACATTTTGTTGATCATCTGACTTTTTATCTTCCGCTGTTAGCAGCAACATAAACTATATGTCGTTAAAATGTTTTTTTAACCAACCCAGCAAAACTTTTAAGTTTCTGGCAAATGGGAATAAGGCTGATTTGTCCATTTCATTATGTTAAACCCTTGTGTTCCCCCTTCCTGTGTCAGGCGGGAGTGTGTGGCTGTGAGGAGGGCTACACTGAAGTGATGACATCTGATGGCCTGCTGGACCAGTGCACGGTCATCCCGGTGCTGGAGATCCCCACTGCAGGCGACAACAAGGCCGACGTCAAGACCATCAGAGCTTTCAACCCAGCGCAACCTGAAGCCAGCACACCGGGCAGGGCGGGACGCACCTGGTTCCTGCAGCCCTTCGGCCCAGGTAACACACCTTGGCACAGTCTGTGACACCGATGTTTTTATCATGTTAAATGTTGATAAGTGTGGATTTTTAAGAGGAAGTGTAGAATAATACAGTGAAGCAAAATATAAATTATAGTTAACAGTAGATTCTGATAGTTTCACACACACCAAAACAGTAGCAGAATGAGACAAAGAAAATCATTTTAGGTTTGTACCAAATTACTCAGACTAGAGTGCGTTTTCTGTAGGAAATGTGTGTGATTGCTGAGAGCACAAGATCATTGCTTACTAAGCTATAAAAGTAGGAGTGGAAGGAGGGGTAGTAATGAGTGGAGAACCAGAGGGAGGAAAGGAAGGAGGGAAGGGGAAAATGATAAGAGAAAGCAAGTATGAATGGATGAAAGAAGGGATTTCAGTGTTGAAAAGAACAAACCTCTATCTGTTATGAAAAGCAATAATATAGTGATGATAATAAAGGGACAAGGGGACAGCACCAGCAATATTGGAAACATTTAAGAAAGGAAATATAATGAATGACTGAAAGGGAAGGGAAAGAATTATAAATATAAAGGAAAGAAAAAAGGGAATTAAGGCATAGAGAAGGGAAGGAAGAAGAACAGGAAAAATGAAGAAGAATGGAAGACTATCGAAGGAAAATTGTCAATAGAGCAGAAAGGAAAAAACAAGGTAGGAAGAAGGAATGAAGGAGGAAAGAAGGAAAATAGGAAAAGGGTAAAAAGTAAAAATAGAAATGAATGACTGGAGAGGGGAATAAAGGAAGGAAGGAAAAAAAGAAGAAAGAAAGGGGGAAGAAGGAAAGCAAGAAGAAGAAAGGAAGAAAAACAGAAAAAAGAGGGAATAAAAGGTGAAAATGAAGAAAAATAGGAATAAAGGAAATATAATAAGAAAGAAAGGAGGAACAAGCGATGGAGGAGGGAACAGGAAGAACAGCAGAAATGAGCAAGGTTAGAGAGAGAAAGATGGAAAGAACAGATGAGAAGAGAAGGAAAGACAACAATAAACAATAATATTGTGATAGAAATTTGAATTAAAAAAGAATAAAGACTGTTATGTACATTTACACTTTATAAGCTCATTTCTTATCAAATGTTCGTCATCAGATTGTGCAAACTGAAATAACTAGCTGCTGTTTGTAGAGTGCAAACAGAAGGAGGATCCATATGTACAACATACATGTGACAGTGTGTAATGTACATTTTTATTTCTTCTCATTAACACTGATTTATCACAGTGTGTTTACAGATGGAGGTGATAATACACACTCAACACCTCATTGTTTACTCCCAAATTTGAATCATTGTCTGGCTGCATAAGCTTCTAAAGGAACATTCAGATTAACTCTTAACTGAAAACCATTGTTATAGCTACTATTGCTGTAACAATAGTACTGCGTCTCCTGGTGTAGGTACCAGATGTTTACAGATGATGTAACTCATTAAAGTTGCAGTAGGCTGCAGAACTTTAATAAAAACAAATTTTTGTCATGGTTGCTAAGGCTGTTGATTGTTGATTCTCATTCCCAGGTCGTCAAAAATACTGGCGCTTTGGGTTGGTGGCTTGAAGTTTTGTGACCCAACAGAGATTCAACAATCCATATCTTTCTCTGCTGTGATTGGTTGTTTTCATTCAGGCCCGGTGGATTCTTACAAATATCATTAGGAGCACTAGGAGGAGACAAACGAACCTGATTGTTTCACAGATTAT